GCAGTGTGCCTGGTTGAGGGGAAGGGGATCCAGACCCTGGCTCCATCCCTTGGGTCCCTGTGCAGGCCCCGAGGCACTGGTGCGGTATGCCTGGTTGTGGGAGGGGGGGTCCAGTCCCCAGCTCCATGCCTTGGTTCCCCAAGTGGGCCCCGAGGCACTGGCAGGGTGTGCCTGGTTGAGGGGAGGGAGTCTGGTCCCTGGCTCCATCCCGAGGGTCCCCGGGTGGGCCCTGAAGCAGTGGTATGGTGTGCCTGGTTGAGGGGAGGGGGAACCAGTCCCCAGTTCCATCCCTTGGGTCCGTGGCCAGGCCCCAGGCACTGGTGGTGTGTGTGAGCCAGAACTAATTTTTTTTTTTTTGTCCTTTGCCTACTTCTAAAGGGGGGGAACTTCCTGTTGGGACAAGTACTTGAGTTCTGTGGTTTAGCTAAATTGCTGCTTTCCTGCTGCTTCCTAGGGAAGGCTTTTTGTGCAGCACAGGTTATAATGGTTGACTTTATAGGTACTTCCAGCTCTCCAGAGACTCAGCGCACCTGGGTTGTGTAGTAAGTCTGATCTGGGCTTGAGTCTTTTCATCAAACTGCAACCCATACAATTCTGTATTCCTGACCAGTCTCCTCTGATTGGTTCTACACTGGGCTGCAGATCAGCTGTCCTTGCTGTGCCCCAGTGTTCCCCCGGTGAGCCTGTCCCTCCCACTGCCCATGCTGCAAACACTTCCCGGGGGATGAGCCATGCACCAGTCCCTTGCAATGACTCACCGGCCTCTGAGTGACTCCATTTTTTCAGTTGTTCTGGCTCCTTACTCCTATGTGGGTCCACGGGAATCCTGTTAGTGGTCTTGCTGGCCTGGGGGCCACCAAGGCCCTCTTCTCTCCTGCCACCTCCAAGCAACTCCATACGAAGGGCACAGCTGCAGCTTTTGCCAGCTCCTGCTCCATGTGCTCAGCAGTTCCAGCCTTAAAGTGGCTGCAGCACAAAATGGTCAGAGCAGTTTTTTCTTTCTCTCATCATGACTTCTCCTGCCTTCATGCACTCTGTAGGGCTCTCCTCCTCTTCCCCTGAGCTCTAGCAGCCCCAGCTTGGCTGCTGTTGCTTTTTTATATAGTTGTAAATTGGTTGATTTGTGGGAGTGTGTGACGCTGGGGACTGTCTCTTCCACCATCTTGACCAGAACTTCAGGTTGTCTAAAGTATACTTTTTGTTGAAATATATAGAAAAAAATGTACATATTATCAGTGAACACACCCATGAAACCAGTACCCAGATCAAAAAACAGACCATTTCCATCAGCTCCTGCCCTAATGGCTCCTTCCAGTCATTATTCTCCCTAATAACAGAGATTGGTTTTGTCTGTTTTTGAACTTTACATTTATGGATGGAATTGTATAGTATATACTCTTCTGTATACCCTTCTAAACTCAACATTATTATGTTCATGAGGTTCATCCATGTTGTGTTTTGCTCATTCTCATTGTTGTATAGCTTGTTGTTGTATGAATACAGCACAGTTAAATTTTTTATTATTATTATTAACGAACATGGGTTGATTCTAGTTTTTTGGTTCTTTTACATTCTTGTGCATGTCTTTTGGTGAATACATTTACAAATTTATGTTAAGTATCTACTTGGGGTAGAATTTGGGGTTGCTGGATATTCATGTATTCAATTTTAGTAGATACTTTCAAACAGTTTTTGTACATGGTTTATTAACATGCACTCCCACTAGGAATATATAAGAGAATTCTTGTTGCTACACAATCTCAAAAACACTTGTTATTTTTCCTCTCTCTTTTTTTCATTTTGGCCATTCTCTGTAGTAGTATCACATTGTGTTTTAATCTACATTTCACTGACAACTGGTCAAGTTCATTAACTTTATTTTGTTGTCCATTTGGATATCTTAAGAAATGTCCATTGAAATCTTTTACACAGTTTTCTTTTTGGTTGTCTGTATATTTTACTTATTTTTAATTCTTTTTATTATGGACACAACTTTTTTGTTGAAGATATATATATCCATGAATCCATTCAGCACCCATTAATTTTGCAGTCTTCCTTGCCTTTTGACACAAGTCCTGGAATCACCTCATACCTTTTCTGCTACAGATCAGAAATTCACAAAAGTTCTCCAAAGAAGTTCTCCAAAGAGCCCAGGGTTGATTATGTGTGTATGTGTGCACGTGTGTGCGTGTGTGCATGTCATATTAGGTTACCTTTATGTATAGTTCCAATAAGAAAAGCAGGAAGGGTGCTTGATTTTCCTTTTGAACTAAACTTTTCCAAGTACAGTTATTTAAATAGTCACTTTGGTGACAAAGTGACCTTTTTTAAAAAAAATTATTACTATAGATTATTGATTTCCATTGACTAAATGTTTCAAATGATAATTTTTTAAAAATCCTACTGTTGTCACAGTATTTTTCCAGCCTGGTCCTTTTGACGTTATCTACTAATCTTTGCAACCTTTCTTGCTTTTTGGCGCAAGAAGTCCTAGACTCACTTCATAGCTTTCCCGATTCAGATCAAGAATCTGTGAAATTTCTAAAGTGCCCAGGTTGATATTAGTGGGGAATAATATTTAGAGATCACAATTTGGGTGGTAGGCATGCTCATTGCTATTAGCTTTTCTAGGGGATAATTCTTTGATAGCCTTCTCTATTTTTTCTAGGCAAGTTTATCTGTCTAGACTTTATCTCATCTAGGGTTGGTTTTGATCAGGTTTCTTTTTTTGCTAGAAAACTGTTCATCTGCATATTCAGATTTATTTGTAAAATAGTCTTCCATAATTTAAAAAAGTATGCTCTGGTCACTTATTTCTCCTTTGTTATTTTTAAAATTTGCTCTTCCTCTCATTTTCTTGATTAGATAGGCTAGTGTTCTACTTCTCTTACTGAACTTTTTGATTTACTTGTTCTTTCTTGTCTTTTTCTGGTTTTTTACTTATTGCATTTTTCCTTTGCTGCTTTCTTTTGCTTTCCTTCAGTTTACTTTGTTTTCTAACTTTATGAGTAGGATGCTTAACTCAGTTTTTTTTGGTCTTATGTTTATATTAATATAAGCATTTAAGTTTATAATGTTTTTCCTATTAGCACTAAATTGGTATGTCATCCATTTTATGTTGTATTTATAATCAAAAGTTTCTAGAGAGTCTGATATTTTAATTTGTATTTCCTCATTTAATCAACAGTTACTTAGCTAAGTATATTGTTTACAAGAAGAGCTCTTTTGATTTTCTGCTGTTGTCATTTATTTCAATTTTTAATGCATTATGTTTGAGACTTATTTAACTGCCCGGTTTGTTTGTTTGTTTGTTTTGCTTTTGTTTTTACATTTACCATACTCTAATCACAGAAAATTTCTTCTCCATTTCAAATTGAGCTTGGCTTACCCAATATTTAGCTTTTTTTTTAGGCTCTTCTCTAATCTAAATTGCCACTCTCCTGCTTCCATTCAACATATCCTTTTTAGTAGATTCCCTGGCCCTCCTAGTCTCCTGACGATTTCTCCATAGTATTCAGTTATTCTGTTTTCCATAAAATTGCCAAGTTTCTTCATTTTTTCAAAGACTATTCAATATGGCATATTGCTTCTTATACTATCTTAAAAAAATCATTCAGATACTTTTCCATAAATCACAATAGTTGATAGAAGGGAAATCTGGGGAAATGTTATGCAGGAAGCAGAGTGAGCATCCAGCAAGATGGTTGAATAATAGTAAAACTCAACTGAATATCTGTAATTAATACACATCTTTATGCACAGTAGGCAATGAACAACAGTGGTGGAGATATCCCTATCTAAATAGATAGTCATTTAAAACATGATTTAGCAAAACAAGGGCCTTTTTTCCTTTTATACATTTGGCTTGGCTACCTTGGATTTACCTTTGTTTTGATCTATAAAGAAAGTTAGGTAGGAAAGAGTCCATTTAATTATTGTAGTAAGGTGTAAGAGATTACAGGTGGGGAGAAATATTCTGTAATTGTAAAATTATAGAAATTAAGGAATTATTATGATGTTCAGCTGTCTTACAGTGACTTATCCTTGTAATATTTACTTTAAGTATCATCATAATTTCCTTTAAGACAATGATTAACTTATACTACAGTTAATTATTTAACACGTGCTCTGTGCTAGTGAGTTGTCATTCATTGTTGAATAAAATAAGGATTCCATCTTCCTTTGGGAAGGTTTAGGTATCAGAAAATAAACAGAAGAGCAAAGAGAAAATCAATGGATGTGCATTTGAAAATTGTGAAATGGAGGAAAGGAAAATGATGCTGGAATTGAGAATAAAGGATATGGACTGACTTACCGTCAGTAGGGCAAGCCTTTCTGTCTAAGAGATGTTTAACTTATGATTGAAGGATGAGAAGGAGTTAGTCTTTCACAGAGACCAGGACAGATGACTTTTAGGAGATGAAATAGCCTGTCAAAAGCTGTATTAAATAGGAAAGGTTGTGGCATAAGCTAGGAGCTCAATAGAAGCATATAAGAGAGAATAAGGAAGACAGGTCTTTGAAAGATGTCTTTAGGTTATGTTCCATGGTAACATGATTGGATTTTATTTTAAGAGTAGAGGAAAACTATTAAAATTGTTAAATGGAGATTCTCAAACTTTGTTCTTTTCAGAATCATTTAGTGGGGTTATTAAAAATTCAGATATCAATTAATTACTCCTGTAGATTTGATTCACTTGGTCTGGGGTGGTACCTAAATAACAGTATTTGTAACAAGTTCCCCAGATGATTCTGATCCACACTGATATTTCAGAACCACTTCTGTAAACTATCTGCCATATCACCACAAATTTATGTAATCTCTCATTTTCTAAGCTCAGATGACCTGATTTCAAATTACATAACTATATTGTAAAGTTCTTCTAAGCCATTTACTTCTAATGAGAATTGTTTTCACTTTGTCTCCTATTTTGAAGATGGAAGCTTTGTTTTGCTGGCTACAGGAAAATAATCTTTGTTTGCTTTTTTGTTTACTTTCAGGTTTGTTCTCCAGGCATAAGACCAAGACGTTATCTCCAGAAAAAGACATTTATGAAATCAGTTTATCCAAATGAGGGAAAACAGAAATAAATAAAACTCTTGGTATTAAAGGATCCATTTTGAAAAATGAGTGTCAGGGCAAAAGTGAGTTCGAGGGTCAAGGAGGACCTCAAGAGAGATATTCTAGTCGAATGAAAATCATCTATAAAAAAATGCCAACATATAGAAAACACTCATCTTTTACTCTGAATCACAGAATTTATAATAGTGAGAACTCTTATGAATATAGGGAATGTAGGAGAACATTTAGTTGTAGCTCAAACTTGGTTCATCATGAGAAAACTTATTCTGATGAGAAACATTATAATTGTAAAGAATGTGGGAGTACTTTTAATAGTGTCTATCACCTTACTCTACATCAGAAAATTCACACTGGTGAAAAACCCTATGAATGTAAGGAACGTGGGAAGGTCTTTAGTCATAACTATGGACTTACTCTGCATCAGAGAGTTCATACTGGTGAGAAACGCTATGAATGTCAAGAATGTGGGAAGGTCTTTAGACTTTATCCACAACTTAATCGGCATCAGAGAATTCATACTGGTGAAAAACCCTATATGTGTAAGAAATGTGATAAAGGCTTTTTTAGTAGCTTAGAACTTTCTCAACATGAGAGAATTCACACTGGCGAGAAACCTTATGAATGTAAAGAATGTGGGAAGGCTTTCCGACTTGGTTTTTACCTTACAGAACATCAAAAAATTCACACAGGTGAGAAGCTTTATGAATGTAAGGAATGTGGGAAAGCTTTTAGTGCATGTGGACAACTTACCCGTCATCAGAAAATTCATAATGGTGGAAAGCCTTTTGAATGTAAGGAATGTGGGAAGGCCTTTAGACTTGGTTTTTACCTTACTGAACATAAAAGAATACATGCAGGTAAGAAACCTTATGAATGTAAGGAATGTGGGAAAACCTTTAATGTGCGTTGACAGCTTAATCGGCATAAAACAATTCATACTGGTATAAAACCCTTTAAATGTGAAGTATGTGGGAAGGCTTTTAGTTACAGTGGTGACCTTAGAGTACATCATAGAATTCATACTGATGAGAAGCCATATGAATGTAAGGAATGTGGAAAAGCCTTTATGCTTCGTTCAGTCCTTACTGAACATCAAAGAATTCATACTGGTGTAAAACCCTATGAATGTAAAGAATGCGGGAAGACATTTAGAATGCGCTCTCAAGTTAGTCTACATAAGAAAATTCATACTGATGTGAAACCCTACAAATGTATAGAATGTGGGAAGACCTTTAGATTTGGTTTCTACCTTAGTGAACATCAGAGAATTCACACTGGTGAAAAGCCCTATGAATGTAAAGAATGTGGAAAGGCCTTTATTCGTAGAGGAAATCTTAAAGAACATCTGAAAATTCATTCTGGTTTAAAACCCTATGAATGTAAAGAATGCGGGAAGACATTTAGAATGCGCTCTCAAGTTAGTCTACATAAGAAAATTCATACTGATGTGAAACCCTACAAATGTATAGAATGTGGGAAGACCTTTAGATTTGGTTTCTACTTTCCACTACTCTACTACCTGTGTGATATTGGGCAAAACATTTACCTGTTAGTGCCACAGTTGTAAAAAAGTGTGGTTAATGGCTTATAACATGCATGATACTGTGAAAAGTATCTGGCCCCAAAACTGTTTAAAATTAATAATTAATATTAGATATTTTTATTATCATCATTACTATTAGTGAACTTAATAGTAGGAAGACATAAAAGGTAATGTATTTAGACAAGCCACTCATCACTTATTATATGTCAGGAAGTTTGTCTGTGATAAAATCTATGTTATAGACTGCTTGTGATCCCCCCAAAATTCATATGTTGAAATCCTAATCTCAATGTGTTGGTATTTGGAGGAGGTAATTAGATCATCAGGGTGGAGCCTTCTTGAATGGGATTAATATCCTTATAAGAAGAAGTCAAAGAGCTAGCTAACTCTCATTCAATCATGTGAGGCTACAGCAAGAAGTCAGCTGTCTGTAACGCAAAAGAGGACCCTCATCAGAACCCAAGCATGCTGGCATCCTGACCTAGAACTTCCAGTCTAACTGTGAAAAATAAATTTCTGCTGTTTATAAGCCACCCAGTCTTTGGTACTTTGTTATACCAGCTCAAACTGATTTAAGATAATCCAATAAGAATATAAAGAACATGTGAAGATCTGAATTGAGACATTATAAGTTCTACCAGAAAATTACATCTGGACAGGATTTAGTGAGTGAGGAGATGTCAGGTATATAGCTGTTGTAGCATCAGAGAGAGGTGTGAAGGAATTTACCTATGTAGAAATTTAAAGCATAGCAAACACAAAGCTATAATCTAGAAATTTTTTACCAACTTTATTATGAAAATTTTCTGACAGAGAAAAACAGAAGCTGTTCAACAATAAACACTGATTTTACCCTCCACCTAGAAGTGAAATTTTATACTTCACATATTTGTTTTCAATGAGATACATTTATTTTTTTCTGTACCATTTAAGAGTAAGTTATAAACATATCTATTGATTGGTAATGTCATCAAGATGGCAGACAAGATGATCCCCAGCATTGCTCCCACACATAAATGATCAACTTACAGCTATTAAAAAGCAAAAACAGCCATCTTGGGACTGCTGGAGCTTGTGGGAACAGGAGGAGAGACCCATAGAGTTTGTGAAGGTATGAGAGGCTGCAGCCAGAAGGAGAAGGGACCACTCTTACCCTTCTGATCCCCAGATGCTTCCAAGCTGGCAAGGTGAGAAGCAAGGAACAGCTGCAGCACATGGGATGGCTGGTGGGAGAGGGCAAGAGAAGGCAAAGCTACAGCAGCACCCTTTTTGTGAAGCTGCTTGGAGTTAGCAGAGGAGAAGAGGGCTTCAGAACACACCATATCAGCTCCCAGGCCAGCAAGTCCCCTGGAAAGGCTCCCCTGGATGCACATAGGATCAAGGGACTGCAGGTGACTGGAGGAAGGAGCCACCCAGAGCTTTGTGACTCATGCACAACCTGTCCCATGGGAAGTATTTGGAGTGTGGGGGTTGGGGGGAGGCTGACCCACCAAGGGAACACTGGGGCACTGTGTGGGCAGCTGATCTACTTTCTCATTGGCACAGGTGCCACTCTGGAGACCACTCAGGGTGACTGAACTCTGGGGGCAAAGTTTATAAGAAAGACTCACTCCCAGACTGGAATTTCCACATAGCCCAGTTCTGTCTGTGGTGACCTCACAAAACCTGGAATTGATTAAAAGGCCAACAATTAACATTCAATCTGCACAAGAAGTCTTCCCCAGAGAGTCAGCAGCAATTTAGCTCAAGCAGAGAGCTCAACTTAGGGTCCCTACAGGAATTTCCTCCAATTAGGGAATTAACCACAGGGTAGCAAATTAGTTCCAGTGCAAACTTTAAGCAGTGGAGGTAGCTAATGATCCACCACAGAATGGGGGGAAAAAAATCCACAGAACGGAGACAAAGTCTGACATAAACTAGTAAAGGTCTAACACCACCAAAGAACACCTGTAAGACCTGGAAGAGGTATTATTCTCCTCAAATGCCCAGGCATCAACATAAAGACACAAAGATTGAGAAAGAACAGAGAAATATGACACCACCAAAGGAAAACAAAACAGCAGTAGACCCAGAACAACAGCAGATTTATGAAATGTCTGATAGAGAATTCAGAATAACCCTCTTAAGGGTGTTCAGGGATTGACAAGAAAATACAGATAGAGAATTAAATAATATCTAGAGAACAGCAACAGAATGAGAAAATTGATGAAAGAATAAAATCAATTTTTAAAATCCAAATAGAAATTCTATAAAGAATATATTATCTGAACTGAAAAACTCCATAGAAATCTCCAATAGCAGATTTAATCAAACAGAGGAAAGAATCAGTGAGCTCAAAGACAGAACATATGAAATTACCCAATCAGCAGAGCAAAAATAAAAAAGAATAAGAAAAAATGAAATAAATGCAGCAATTATCTTGACATATTTGGCATACCTAAGGGAGAGGGAAAAGGAGACCTAGAAAGTAAATTCAAGGAAATAACAACTGAAAATTTCCCAAGCATGGAGAAAGATGACAGAATTTAGGTACAGGAAGCTCAGAGATTACAAATCAAAGTCAATCCAAAAAGTAATACTTCAAGGCACATTAAAATATTTTCTTTTAATATTTTCTTCAAAATATTACCTTCAAAATATGTACCTTCAAATATTTTCTTTTAGTGTCACCTTCTTTCAGATTGAAGAACTCTGTTTTGCATTGTGTGTGTGTTTGTGTTTCTGGCCAGAAAAGGGATAGAAACCTGGACCTTGCTGTTATCAGCCACACTCTCTAAGCAACTGAGCTAACCAGTCAGCCTCCCCTTTAGCATTTCTTGTAAGACAGGTCTAGTGTTGATCAATTCCCTTAGCTTTTGTTTGTCTGGGAGAGATTTTATTTCTCCTTCATATTTTAATATATCTTGCTGGGTACAGAATTCTTGGCTGACAGTCGAGGTGACACTAAAAGAAAATATTTGAAGGTACATAACTCATTAGTAAAGTACACAGACAACCTCAAAATATGCCAACAGTGTATGGCTGTTGAATAAACCACTTATATCCTTAGTATGCAGGCTAACAAGACAACAACAAATACAAGTACCATATAAGAGATAGGCAGTATTAAAAGATGTAACTTGAAACTTCAAAAATATCAAAAGGGGGGGGGGGTGATGCCAAAGTGTTGAGTCAGCTGTTTTTTTCTTAGCTATCCAAGTAAAATAGTTATTAGTCTAAAATAATTATTATAACTAACATTAACTTAACATGTTTTTTGTAAGCATCATGGTAACCATAATACAAAAATTTATGAGACATACTAAAAGTAAATAGCAAGAAATCGAAATATACTGCTAGAGAAAACCACTCAACCACAAAGGAAGACAGTAACCCTAGAAAAAAGGGGGGGAAGGATCTATAAAATAACCAGAAAAAAGGTAACAAAATGGCAGTAATAAGTTCCTATATATCAATAATAATTCTAAATGTAAATGGATTAAATGCCCCAATCAAAAGGTACAGAGTGGCTTGAAGGATTATAAAAGAAGAACCAACAATATGCTGCCTATGAGAAACACTTCACCTATACAGATACATATCAACTGAAAGCAAAGGGATAGAAAAGGATATCTTGTGCAAATGGAAACCAAAAAAGAGCAGGAATAGCTATACTTATATCAGGAAAATAGACTTCAAACCAAGGAAAGTAAAAAATGATAAGGAAGGTCATTAATAATGAAAAAGGGATCAATTTAATGAGAGGATATAACAGTTGTAAATATTCATGCATCCAACACAAGAGCACCCAGTTATATAAAGAGCACCCAATTACTATTAAACCTAATGGGAGAGATTGACTACAACACAATAATAGTTGAGAACTTTAACACCCCACTTTCAGCAAAGGACAAAACATGCAGACAAAATGAACCAGGAAACATCAGAATTAATCTCTATTCTAGGCCAACTGGACCTAACAGACATATATAGAACACTTCATCCAACAGCGACAGAATACACATTCTTCTCAGCAGCACAAGGGATATTCTCTAGAATAGACAATATGTTAGGTCACAAACATCTCAATAAATTTTTTAAACACAAGTCATATCAACTACCTTGTCCAATCATAACAGAATAAAACTAGAAGTCAACAAAAAAAGGGGCATGGGGGGGGGAACACTAGAGACTACAAATACGTGGAAATAAAACACCATGCTCCTAAACAATGGATCAAAGAAAATATCGAAAAGGAAATTTAAAAATTCCTGGAGACAAATGAAAATGAAAACAACATACCAGAGTCTATGGGATACTGTGAAAGCAGTTGTAAAAGTAAACTTTACAGCAATAAATGCCTACATCAATACATCAAAAAAGAAGAAAGACTTCAAACAAGCAACCTAACATTACACCTCAAGGAACTAGAAAAGTAAACCAAACCCAAAATCAGTAGAAGGAAAGAAATAACAAAGATCAGAGCATAAATAAATGAATTAGAGATTTTTAAAACAATGCAAAAGAATAGTGAAACAAAGAGTTGGTTTTTCAAAAAGATAAACAAAATTGATAAACCTTTAGCTAGACTAATGAAGAGAGAAAACTCAAATAAAATCAAATTAAAAAGGAGACATTATAACTGATACAGAAATAAAAAGGATCATAAGAGATAGCTATGAACAACTATATGCGAACAAACTGGAAAACAGAAGAAATGGGTAAATTCCTGGACACATACAACTTAAGAAGGTTGAATCAGGAAGAACTAGAAAACCTAAACAGGCTAATAATGAGTAAGGAGCTTGAAGCTTTAACAGAAAGTGTCCTAACAAAGAAGACCCCAGGACCACAGGTCTTCACTGCTGAATCATACCAAACATTTAAAGAAGACCTAATTCCAATTCTTAAACTCTTCTAAAAATTAAAGAGGAGGGAATACTTCCAAACTCATTCTACAAGGCCAGCACTACCCTCATACCACCTTGACAAAGGTGCCAAAAACATACAGTGGGGAAAGGACAGCTTCTCCAATAAATGGTGCT